AAAAAAAAAAAAATAGTGGGACAATCCCTTCAGGAGCCTGTGCAGGACTCCAAGGCCAGCCACTATTGCCATCTTTAGTTAGCCATGTGACAACTGGCCAAGAGTTCATCCAAATCCCCTGAGTAAAATGGATTATGGGATATCTTTTCTACAGGGTGTTCCTATACCCAGAACTGGCCTGGAGCTCTCTATGTAGACCAGGCTGGCCTTGATCTGCCTGCTTCTGCCTCTTGAGTGCTGGAATTAAAGGCTGTATCACTGTTAATATTGGGGTGATAAATAGCTCTGAGGTGTTTGCCTAGAAGTGGAAACACTACCCAAGCAGATTTTTTTTTCCAAAAGGGAAGCGGGCTAGGAATGTGGCTCAGTGGTAGAGCACTTGCACAGTGCAGAGGCCCTAGGTTCCATCCCTTGCACCGAGTAACAAAACAACACAGAAGGAACGAAGTAACCATCCAGACCATTGCAGCACAATCCACGTGCTGTCTCCCTTCATGTCTCTTGTGGTCACCACAGAGGACCTCTGACTGGTAGTCCCACCCCATCACACACACACACACACACACACACACACACACACACACCACACCACACAACAGTGCAACATGACAGTCCAAATGTCCAACCCTGAACTGGAAAAGTGCGAGGAGAGACAAGTGCAAGTCCCACATGGACGGGCTAGGGCCAGGTGGGACTGAGGTCCAGGAGCCACATCTGGATGCAGGAGACGCCAAGCAGATGCTATGGCCCATGAGCAAGGTAACCGGGTGTCTCAGGCACTTCAGAAGTATTAACGGGACTGGTGACTCAGGCTTGTTCCTCTAGTAATGGGTGACTGTGGCGAAGGCTGAGCTGGTATCAATCCATGGCAGCCGCTGGTCTGAGAGTCAAGATGGGTGACGACTGTACCGAGTCACTTTCCTGACTTCCATAGGGGCTGCGCCCAGCATGAAAGACCTGATTCAGGGTGGTGGAGCCCAGGCTAACTGGCAAGGATCACAGGATGGAGGTAACTGTGTGGAATCCTGAGTTTAGAGGTGTGGCATGGGGTGCATGAAACCAGCCATGCCTGGGACCATCTCTCGCACCTGCTGTCATCTGTTCAAGGCTGCCCACCTCTCTGCTAGGTCCCACCCGTCCTTCCTTCGTTCATCTTGTAGAACAGAGACGGGAGAATTCAGCAGAGGGGGACTGAGAGGACAACTCAGTGCCTGGGGGCTTCTGGTCCCTCTCCAAGGAAAGAGATGAAAGCCACAAGTGGAATCCATGTCATTGGCACCAACTTCAGCCTGTTCTGCATCCCAGACAAATAAATATATAAAACAGAGCTGGGGCAGATAGGCCACTGAAGGCCTTTGGGCCAATCTTGCTGTGAGCAGCACAGGGAGCCATCCGGACAGCAGGGTCTGTCTTGGGCAGGGAGGTGGACAGTCCAAGGACTGCAGAGAAAGTGTCCTTTCTGCCCATGAGTGGCAGTTGATTCTGAGGAGGAATAGGACTCCAGGCAACGGTTCACGCCACATCATCCTCCAGGCTGACCATCTGTCTCTGTCAGACAAACAGTAAACGTAGGAAGTAGTCAGTAAACAGGTAATAGACATGGCCAGAGTCCACACTGCTCATTGCACCGACCCCCTCCAGCCAGGGCCCCCGCCTTCTGTTCCCTGCACAGATACTACAGGGCTGAAAGACCACCTGAACTAGCCAAGTCCCTTCCACTACACAAAAACAAAAGCCCAAGTTCTCCCTATGGCTCCAGAGGGTCTCAGCTCTCACTTTTGCCACACCATTTTTTTTTTTTTTTTAAAAAGACAGGGTCTCCCTGTAGCCCCAGCTGTTCTGGGATTCAGTATGTAGAACAGACTTGCCTTGAGCTCACAGAGATCTGCCTGCCTCTGCCTCCCAAGTGCTGGGATTAAAGACATGTGCCACCACATCCAGCCTCACACTATCTTGCCACATGTGCCTTCCCCAACTGTTGAAAACACATGACATTTTCACTACCCAATCAGCTGCTACAAAGCCTTTTTTAGGGGGTGGGAGGTGCTAGGAATGGAACACAGGATCTTAGGCATGCTAGGAAGGGTCTCCATCACTGAGCCAGGCCCCCAGTGCCCCACCTGGGGATTCTAAGCAGGGATTCTACAGTTGAATCAGGCCTCCAATGCCTCACTAGGGTATTCTAGGCAGGGGCTCAACCACGGAGCCATGGCCCCAATCCCTCACTGGAGAATTCTAGTCAGGTGCCCTTATAGTCCCTTATGTGGGTGAAATCATCACCGAGGGGTAGGTGTAGCCATCCTGACTGCGGCAAATGTGGACCTCATCCTCTGTGGTCTTCTGGTACACAGGATTGTCAAAGTTGATGCTGTTGACGTTCCTCAGCCGCCAGTTCTTCCAGAGCAGGAAGGTTCCGAAGCTCAGGAGCACGACCAGCACTGTGGAGAGACGGGCTCTTTCAGGGGACTGACCCTGAGTAGGACACCGGCATCACATGGCATCCCATCCTGGCCTCATTAAGATAGTGGCTTGTTCTGAATGTAAAATTACACTCCCTTATTAGACTAAGAGAAAATGGAGTGGGACAGCGCTCCCCAACCAGATAGCACATGAGGGTTGAAGCAGGGTATCCATGTGTGAGCCAGACTGGTTCCATGTTCTGACCCTAGTTTAATCTCCCAACATCCTATCGCCACTTCATGAAACCCTGTCTCCGTCCTCCACTTTGAGAGAGACTGTCCAGATCCTGTCGACCTCAGGATGCCTGTCTGGATTTTATAAGACTTTGTCTAGATTCGAGAGCCCGTCTATACCTCAGGAGACTATCTCCACCTGGCTATACTGTACTAACCTCAAGACTTTGTCTCAGGGCTAAAGAGATGGCTCAGCGGTTAAGAGCATTGGCTGTTCTTGCAGAGGACCTGAGTTTAATTCCCAGCAGCACCCACATTATGGCTAACAGCAGTCCATAATTCCAGTTCCAGGGGAATTCGATGCCCTCTTCTGACCTCTGAGGGCACTGCACTGTTGGGAGCTTTTAGAACAGCCATTGCTGCGTTAGATTGTGGCAGCTTGCCTTGCCTTAAGCATTGGAGAGAGAATGCTTCCTCCCTGGGAGTTTCTCTTCTCTCTGCTTCTGTGGTCTGAGTTGACAGGCTATGCTTCCCTGATTAACTGGCAGTCTTGGAAACATAAGGAAAAGTTTCTGTTTCAGTTTATGGGCACCGGAGTTTCTCAGCACTGATAGCTTGTTTTCTATATAGAAATAATGAATTACAGTGTTGCTAAGAGTAATCACAGCCGAATCTTGGATACTGTAAACTTCACGTGAGTCTCAGCTGGTGAGGTAATGCAGTAATATACTGTATCCTTGCTTATTCCCTGGTTACTTTCTGTTAGTGATGTGTCCTTAGTGATTCCTTGGTTACCCCTTGGTTACTCCTGATCTGATTCCTATATAAGTCTTGTTTGATCACAATAAACGTGCACTGGCATCTAAACCTCTGCATCTCCGGTGTCTTGATTTATATCTGTCGGGGTCCCCAAGCCCATCAGGCTTGAAGTGTGGTCACTGCACCGTGACACTGCACGACACAAGTGCACTTACATACATGCAGGCAAAACAAAAATAAAAACAATAAAGACTGACTCATTCTCAGGAAAAAAAGAAAGTATAAACATCACCAGTCTCTGCCTCTGAGTCCAGCGTGACCCAGAAATACCCCACTGTTTTGGAATCTTCCAGGATTGAGTACATGTGGGACAATAATTACGTTTATTAAAATGGGATTTTTCTTTCCATCTAGGGCCATGATACCTTTTTTTTTTTTTTTTTTTTTTTTGGTAGCCCCAGTTGGCCCAGAACTCGCTATGTAGACATGTAGACCAGGCTGGCCTCGAACTCACAGAGCTCTGCCTGCCTCTGCCTCCGAGTGCCTGGCTCAGTATGGTCACTTTTAATACATCTTCTTCTGCTGTTCACTGTTCATATGGTTGTTTTACTTGACTGATGGAAGAAGGGTTAGTGGTACATGCCTCTAATCCCAACACTCAGGAGACAGAGGCAGGGAGCTGGCCCAGTCTACAAAATGTGTTTTAGGCCATCTGGGGCTACAGAGAAACCCTGTCTCAAAAAAAAAAAAATAATGATAATGATAATAATAATGATAATAATAATAATAGGCTCACTGAGGACAGGTAGCTCAACCTGGCTTTTCGGATGCAGCCTGTGAACCTAAATCCCACACATAGTATGGTCCTAAACAGCTTGTACCCTGAAAAAGGTGGTCCTAGTACACACTGCTTCTCCCCACAGTTTTATGGGGTCTACCTCAACTGAGCAGAGGGTTTGCGCAGCCTAAATTATTCAGGATTCTAACCAGTGCCCAGAAGCAGGGTATGACTAGGGCTCTTCTAAAAAGAACCTGGGTGAGTCCAGCCACCACCCTGAGGGAACTGAGTACTCACCTTCCATGTCTGTCAACCCATAGCTGGTTAAACTACTGGGTATCTTAATGGATGCCACCCACAAGGGATTTCTTCCAGAAAAGGAAGAGGGGATGTGAGCTTGTAGCTCAGGGTCAGAGCATGGCTCAGCACATTCAAAGTTCTTGGCTCCACCCTCAGAAGTGACTAAGTAGAGGTGAGGGGAGCAGGCTGGAACCCAATTGCTAAAAAAACTACCTTCTGTCTCTTTGAGTGCCTCCTTGGAGGCCTGTCCTGGCTCTCTGTCTTTCTGACACCTCAGATGTCTGACCTTGCTCTTTGGCCTCTCCAGAAATATGATGTGACTTTTCTCCTGTCTTTGCCCTCACTGCCCCTGGCAGAACACTCAGTCTTTTTTATTTATTTATTCTTTTTTATTTTATGTGCATGTATGTTTTGCCTGCATGTATATATAAGTGCATCATGTACTTGTAATGCCAGGGGAGATCAGAAGAGGGAATCAGATCCCTTGGAATTGGAGTTACAGGCGGTTGTTAGTCTCCTTGTGGGTACTGGGAACCAAACCCAAGTCCTCTGTAAGAGCAGCCAGTGCCCCTAAAAGCTGAGCCATCACTCCAACCCCTCAATCTTTTCTTTCTTTCCTTCCTTCCTTCCTTCCTTCCTTCCTTCCTTCCCTCCTTCCTTCCTCCCTCCCTCCCTCCCTCCCTCCCTCCTTTCTTCCTTCCTTGCTAGACAGAGTCTCTGGCTGGCCTGGAATTCACTATGTAGACCAGGTTTATCCTGAAACTTACAGAGATCCACCTGCCTCTGCCTCCCAAGTGTGTGCCACACTCATTTTTCTGTAAATGAAGTGAGATGAGGGCAGTGATGAGAGGCAGGCAGGGGGCATCCTGCGTGCATGAGCATTCCATTCTTGGGAGGGAAGGTAAGCGGCCCAGTGGGCTGAGCTGAAGTCACAGGATGTTGTGATTGTTACCCAGGTGGCAGCCTGGCCAACACTTACCCAGGGGGAGGACAATAGACAGAACTCCCACTCCCGTTGGCTGCTCCTGGTTCCCTCTGCTAGGACTGTCACCCAGGACTGTGGGGAGAGAAGGGATAAAGTGAGGTCAGATCAGGAGGGGATGTAGAAATCAGGGCAGGCAGTTGACAGCAGTCACTCAAGGATGGTGCCTTACATGTCGTTTTTCCCTGTTCAAGTTCAAGGGAACTTGGAGAATCTCCCAAGGTTCACACAGGCCATGCTGCATTAATCTTTTTTTAAATTTTACTTTATTTTATGAGTGTATTGTCTGCATGTATATAAATGCAGTGACCACAGGTCAGAAGAGGATCTCAATGTTACATTAATCTTGAGCACAGTAATCCCTCAGTGTCCACAGGGGACAGATCTAGGATTTCAAGAGATGCTAAAACCCACAGATGCTCAAGTCCCAAGTATAAAAAACCTACATAAGGGGCTGGAGAGATGGCTCAGCGGGTAAGAGCATTGGCTGCTCTTACAGAGAACCTGGGTTCAATTCCCAGCACCCACATGGTGGCTAACAATCATCTGTAACTCCAGTTCCAGGGAAATTCAATGCCCTCTTCTAATCTCCGAGGGCACTGCGTGACAGGGGTGCACTTACATACGTGTAGGCATTAACACTTATACACACAAAAATAATAAATTAAAAAAAATATTTTATTTATTATTTCTATTTTATGTGTATGGGTATATTGCCTGCATGTAGGTAAGTGCACCCATGTTGTGCAATGTCCCCGGAGGACAGAAGCGGCTGTCGGATCCCTTAGAACTGGAGTTATGGACGTTGTTAGCTGCCATGTGGGTGCTGGGAATTGAACCCAGGTTCTCTGTAAGAGCAGCCAGTGTTCTTAACTGCTGAGCCATCTCTCCAGCCCCAATAAAATATTTAAAAAAACAAAACAAAACAAAACTACGTAAACAAAACTCCAGTTCCAGGGGATCCCACACCCTCTCTGACATCTGTGGGCACTGTATGACACAAGTGCACTTACATACGTGCAGGCAATACACTGATACACATAAAACTAAAAAATAATAATATATCTACATTAAAAACATACATCCAAATAGATACTAGCCAGGCATGGTGGAGCATGCCTTTAATCCCAGCACTCGGGAGGCAGAGGCAGGTGGATCTCTGTGAGTTCAAGGCCAGCCTGGTCTACATAGCAAGTTCCAGGATAGCTGGGGCTACAGGGAGACCCTGTCTCAAAAAAGACCAATCAAAAAAAACCAGCCCGGCGTGGTGGTGCACGCCTTTAGTCCCAGCACTGGGGAGGCAGAGGCAGGGGCTCTTTATGAGTTCAAGGCCAGCCTGGTCTACATAGTGAGTTCCAGGACAGCTGGGGTTACAGGGAGACCTGTCTCAAAAAGACCAAAAAATAAACAAATGAAGTACTCATCACAACAGAAGGTGGGCTCAGGCTTTACCTTGATGGGACATTGTCACTGACTCCGCTGTGCTGAGCCTGGAGATGTTGGCAGGAGGTCCAGAGGTGCTAGAAGTTGTCTGGTCATCCTTGCGTTCTGTCCCCATAGCCACAGTGGTGACCAGGGGCCTGATGGTGGATATCCCCTGGGTGGTTGGTACAGTGGTGACTTCTGAGGAGAATAAATCAATAGGTACTGAGTGCCAGGTGCTGGGGAGCCACTGACACCTCTACACTTCATGAAAAGTGGATCAACAAGTACCAAAATAAGTCAAAATGAAACACACTGAAAATGAGCACATAGGGAGCCAGGTATGGTGGCACATGCCTTCAACCCCAGTATACCGGAGGCAGAGGGAGGTGGATCCCTGTGAGTTTGAGGCCAGCCTGGTCTATATCATGAGGCCAGCTGAGACTACAGGAAGACCCTGTCTCAAAAACAAACAAACAAACAAAAAATCACACACAGATAGGAATATAATTCCTTTGTTTTGCAACAGGGTCTTGCTGTGTAGCCCAGGCTAGCCCCAAACTTGGGATCCTCCTGCCTCTACCTTGCACGTGCTGGGATCCCAGGTGTGTGTAACTGCACCTGCTAGCTTGTTCTCACAGAGCCTACTTGTTTAAGAGAAGCTCTGCATATGTTAAGGATGCCTTGGCCTCTGAGGTGGCTTGAAATCTCCCTTGATCTCTTTATCTACCATGTGGACCTGGGAATCAAAGTCAGGCAGTCAGGCTTGGCAGCAAGGTCCTTTACTTACTGAGCCATATCACTGCCCCCTCCTGTTGATGCTATTTGGAGGTGGCGCCTTAGGGAGGTGGTTAGGGCTAAGTGAAGTGATCAGATTGAGGCCCCATCATGATATTGGTGGCTCAGCTGATAAGGGACCTGTCTAGCAAGCACAAAGTCCTGGGTTCTATTCACAGAACTTCATAAATCTGGTGTGGTACTGCACACCTGTAATGTCAGCACTCAGGAGCTGGGAGAATGGAAGTTCAGAGTTATCCTTGGTTGCATAGTGAGTTTGAGGCCAGATTGGGCTATATATATTGAGACCCTTTCTCAAAAAAAAAAAAAGAAAAGAAAAAGATGAAATTGCTTAGTCAGTGAGCAAAGGCATTTTCCCCAAAACCTTACAACCTGAGTTCGATCGATCCTCAGGACCCACATGGTAGAAAGTTATTGTTCTGGTGTCTTTTTGAAACAGGGTTTCCCTGTAGCCCCAGCTGGCCTGGAATTCACTATGAACCCCCAAATTCTATTTAAAAATATTTTAGTTATTCACTTTTATGTCTATGAGTGTATTGCCTGCATGTGTGTAAGTGCACCTGTGTCATGCAATGCCCGAGGAGGTCAGAAGAAGGCATCACATTAACCTGGAACTGGAGTTACAGTTTTTTGAAACAGGGTTTCCCTGTAGCCCCAGCTGGCCTGGAATTCACTATGAACCCCCAAATTCTATTTAAAAATATTTTAGTTATTCACTTTTATGTCTATGAGTGTATTGCCTGCATGTGTGTAAGTGCACCTGTGTCATGCAATGCCCGAGGAGGTCAGAAGAAGGCATCACATTAACCTGGAACTGGAGTTACAGTTGTTAGCTGCCATGTGGGTGTTGGGAATTGAACCTGAGTCCTCTGCAAGAGCAGCCAGAGCTCTTAACCGCTGAGCCATGTCTCCAGCCCTCCCACTCCAAATTTTATTAAATAAATAAAAACGAGGGGCTGGAGAGATGCCACAGGGATTGAGAGAACTGAGTGGTTAAGAACTGGACGCCCTCTTCTGGCCTCCTTGGTAACTGCACGAATGTGGTACGCTTTTATACATGCAGATAAAGCACTCATACACATGAAATAAAAACGAAATCTTTAAAGAATAATAATAAGTAGAGAACATTTGCTCTGTGTCAATATGTGAAGCCTTCCTCCTTGTTAGGAGACAGAAATAGGCCCTGTTTTGGGACTTCCCACATCGAGAACCTGAAGCCACAAACTTCTATGCTTTGTAAATTATCTAATCTCAGGTAATCCATTATAGCAACAGAAAACAGACTGAGAACCCTAAATTGAGTTTCTCAGATGATGAGACCAGACAAAGGAGTCCATTTTCTCACTTGATACCCACTTACACTTCCCCAAAAGGCTGAGAGGCAGAACTTAGACCCCAAGGAGAACCTGAGTCAGTCAAAGAATTTTTATTTCATGAGTCCTAAAAAACAATTTGATAGCCTATTGGGACAATCAACCCAGACAGGCTCAGGAGGGTGAAACTACAAGGGTGACCTAGTAAGTGGGTAAAACAAGACCTGTGGCCTACCTGTGAGGCAGCTCCTCATGTCCTTGGCCAGGACCATACCATCTGGGCACACACAGGTGAACTTGGGGGAGTGTGGGTTGATCTGTGGGGCTGGTAGACACAGGTACTGGCAGCCACCATTGGGGAGGGTTGTTCTCTCACACCAGTTCACTCCTAGGTAGAAGAGAGATAGGTCAGAACATTCCAGAAAAGTTCTAGAAAGTTCCAGTGTAGTAGCAGACAGGTTTATTTCACTGGGTGCAGGAGTAGGCTTGTTGCCAGATCAGTCTTACCTCTTGGCTGTGTGACATTGTGGAACAGGACCATGTCCTCCGGGGACAGCAGGTTTTCAGCCACCAAATTAACATCTGAACCCGTGAGGCGATTGGCACTGAAAATGGCTTCATGCATGACATCGGTCCAAAACACTTTGTCCTACATAGGTATTAAGGAAGAGGACCAAACCCATGGGCCATTGGGGTAGGACTCAGACCACTGTCAAACCCCAAACCCCAAATCTCTGGGGTTCTCTGGGCAAAAGCAACTTTGGATGTGGTAAAACTTTCTTTTGGTTTCTTTTTTTGGTCGTTTTGAGACAGGGTCTCCTGTAGCCACAGCTGGCCTGGAACTCACTATGTAGACCAGGCTGGCCTCGGACTCACAGAGATCCACCTCCCTCTGCCTCCCAAGTGCTAGGATTAAAGGTGTGCGCCACCAGGCCCAGCTGGTTTCTTTTTTTTAAAAATATTTTATTTATTATTTTTATTTTCTGTATATGCATGTATTGCCTGCATGTAGGTAAGTGCACCCATGTCGTGCAATGCCCACAGAGGACAGAAAAGGCTGTCGGATATCCTGGAACTGGAGTTATGGAGAGATGGCTGAGCAGTTAAGAACACTGTTCTTGCAGAAGACCCAGGTTCAAATCCCAGCACCCACATGGCAGCTAACAACTGTCCGTAACTCCAGTTCCAGGGGATCCAACAGTCTCTTCTGTCCTCCGTGGCCTTTGCAAGACGTTGTGTATTTACCTACATGCAGGCAATACACACATACACATAAAATAAAAATAATAAAATTTTTA